GTGGTTGGTTCTGACACAACGATTGTTGAACACCCGCAGATGTCTCAATAACGTTGTCCGAACAGGCCAAGTCTCACAGCATTACAAAAAAACAGACCACGTCCCTTGAGATTCAGGGCTACACCACTCTGACGCCATAGGTGTCTCAAATTAGCAAACGCGATAAAAAGTTAAACACACATTCACGAATTAATTCAAATTGGAATGGAAACTCAATTAAAAATTCATCTGAGTCCTTTCGGGCTATGAATGATACTAAAACGATACTTCAGACGGTTCATATTGTTCGTTCTTTGTGAGAGTAACGAATAAATTTAATGCTGGTCCTCAAAAAAACACTGACCATTCTGCTTCCCCGTTCACGAAGTTGCGTCTCTGATGACAGGGACCGTTATCTGCAGCACCCGAACTATATGTAAGGATCGAAACTACCTATAAACTGTGAGCCTGTTTCCAAAATGTCTCTATTGGTTGTAGTCAAATAAGGACGAATTCTTGAGACTTCCAACTTCCTATTTGTGTGTTTATCACATTGTCGTAGTAAACAAAAAAATCCAATTGTATTTTGTCCACATCAGCCAACTCTTCCGGTAATCGAACAGAAGGCATAGTGCTGAAACCTGAAGAGAACACTTGCTGCTTGAGAGGCTTTCAGCTCCGTCTTTCTGCTGGCTAGCGAAGCCAGTTGATTTAAGTTGTATCCATCCAGCACAAGACATAAAGTCACTCAAGTAGTTCACATAAGCTCTAGAGGGGCCAGTTCACCAGTGTTTTTTCAAAAAAGCTCGTCTCTCGGTGGTGACCATCTACCCGGGTGGGGGAGGAACGATGTATGGTTGGAACACCCAGTTTTCTTGGGACCGTCTTCTCTATTCCTCTCCGTGCTAAATCGTTTCTTGTTCTTTTTACGCTAACCAGTGGGGCGTATGGGAATTTTTTGAGGAAACGATTTCTCTCTGGACCAATGCATGCCACATCATCACCATCATCATCATCATCATCATCATCATCATCATCATCATCATCATCATCGACAGCATGATATCACTGTTCAACACCAATTCTTCATTACCGTACAACTATGATTTATTTGGAAGTCTTATTGTAAAGAAAAGAGTGAATTTGGCCGGGGGACTTAGTGCTAGCTTACCACAATCATTCCGATGTGCCTACACCTCCAGACACTGTCTCAGGGAATCTGGATAGAAACTGACGGAAAGGATGCCACTGACATCGGTTGGCAGCCATATCTTGTAGTGTCTCCAACCAGGCACGGTGAGGATCACGCGGTCCCCATCCTGGAAGGTGAGTAGCACCGACAGCGCCCAAGCGTTTCGCGATCTCCTTCATAATCCTCTGCCAGGTCAAGGGTTGGCCACCTCTTGGTTTACGCCACTCTGAATTGGGCATGGAAAATAGCACTCTCTTCGGCAACACATGCCCCAACCAACGCAACTTCTGGTGCTGGACACATTCTTCAATGGAAGTACCTGTTGCACAACCAAAAACGCGCTTCCTAACTGTCTCGTTACGGATTCTCCGATAACGTCCCTTCAGATTCAGGGATAAACCATTCTGACGCCATAGGTATCTCAAGTTATCAAACGCGGCCCGAGCCTTGCATTCACCTCATCTGTCACACTACAATCAGAACTAATACAACTTCGAAGATGCGTAAAACGCTCCACAGCTTCCAGTACCTCTCCCTGGATTGTAAGTGGCGTGTTCAGTGACTGTACTCAACGTGTCAAGGACATCTTTCTCACAACCAGCATGTTGTGCTTCTTCTAAAAAAACTAAATGACAAAGA